ATTCCTTCTGGTAAATTAGTTAGCTCCTCACATGATCCTCCCTCTGTGTGTGTGTGTGTGTGTATAGGGGTCTAATCAAGAGAGAACTCAATTGTTCGTGATAACTGTGAGATCCAATTTTAACCACACATTATTAATAATCAATGTTTATTATTAAACATATTAATTTTGGTAATTATTCATTAATTTTGATAATTATCCATTAATTTTCAAATAATTTAAATTTACTGATAATATGTAGAGGTAAATTAGTCTTTTTAAAATCTCTCTCCTCTCGCCCCTCCCCCCCTCCCCCTCTGACCAAGAATTTCTAACAATAAAACACAAAACAAATATAATACACGTTGTGATACCCCAAGAATTTATAACAGTAAGACACAAAACCAGTTGTGTTACACATTGTGATACCATTATGATAACGTTTTGAACATGGGTTGATAATAGATGTGATCTGAGTTATAGGTCGCACACGACCACAATGTGATACACGACTGTGATACAATTTTGTTGAGATAATTAAGAAAACCGAATTCTAGATAATTAAGGAAACCGAATTTGATAACTATTAAATAAGAAAAATATTTAAATTATGATTAATCATTTTACTAAAACGCCCTTTACCTGTTAATTAAGGTAATACAATTAATATCATAAAATGATTGGTTCATATTGGACCTCACGGTTACCACAAACTAATTAGTTCTCATTTGATTAGGCCCCTATACACACACACACGCATATAGGGTCATTCAAGAGAAAACTTGTTTGTAATAACCGTGAGATTCAATTGCAATTACACATTACTAATATTATCCATTAATTCTAAAAAAATATGAATAATGATTAGGGGTAAAGTAGTCTATTTTATAAATCTCTCTCTCCTCTCTCCGACAAACTTTAATCCGACGAATCTTATTCCAAATAACACAGTGGGAACAAAAGATACACATTGTGATACATAAAAAATTGACACTATTTAGAAAAATACATTCAAATGATACATTGTGATATCCAAGATAAATACAATATGGACATTGTGATACCCCAAGCTACACAATGTTAAAAAAAGATATACACCCGAAACATACAAGAAACATATACATGTTGCCCACATTGTGCAAAATAGTGTATCACTATGGGATTGGCAGCAAAAAAACAAACTCTGATACACTGTTATGCCCTTCGTAAAATCCATAAATACACTTTGATCCATTCTGATCCATCTAAATCTAAACAAAAAACAAACAAACCGTTGATCTAGGAGATGAGATGGAATTAAGGTCGGTCGGTCCGTCCTCTTGGACTCCGTGAGATTTTTCCTTCTTTCCCTTCACTGTCGTCGCTGCTAAGAGTGATCATGGGTTGGGTTGATCGGTTGAAAGCGTCTGAACAACTCAACCCAATGTTGGCGGTTTAAAAATTTTCAACCCAACTCAACCCGTTCGGGTTGGTCGGGTTGTACTTAAACAAAGTAAAATCAACATTGGCAACATAAAAATAAAGGAAACCTTCCTTTGAAATACGATCAATCATTCAAGAGAACATACGAGTTCATCAAATATTTAGATATATAACTTTCCAATAATGTCCTCTTATGAATTTCGTTGCTCGTTGTTACCGAGTAGTTTTTTAGTAACCTATACATATTAAAGAGAAATACGAATAATTTTAGAGAAACCACTACAAACTTCATTAGGTTATCGGGTTGGTCGAGTTACTTTGAGCTTAACCAAATTTTAACCAATAGAATATGTTTGTCTAATTTTATTGATTATATATCAGGTTAGCTCGGGTTGAACGTTTTTGGGTTTTTCGGGTCAGGTTGGTCAGGTTAGTCGATTATTTAAGCACCCCTAGCTGTTGCTGCCATTTAACAATTGGTTGTTTCTATTTTCCTCATGTTCTCTTTTATGGCATCCCATTTTGAGACCATTGGTACCGGTTTGTTCGTCTTCTAAATTTTGTTGCTGAAACTGATGCAAATTGTTGTATGAAACGGAGGCAGAAGAGAGTCACCGTGCCATGATTTTAGGCCATGATTTTATGGATTAGTTGTCGAAGAATTAAATTACCAGTATAACCTTTCATATATAATTATTAAATAAAATTAAATGATTGATTTATATTGGATCTCATGGTTGTCATAAACTATTTAGTTCTAATTTGATTAGGCCCTATATATAATTGGGATCGTGTAGGAATTTTTTTTGCCTAAGAACGTATTAGTTGCCATTGGATGTGATCGGCCGCTTGATCTAAAATGTCTCACAAAAATATGGTGGCAAAAACTGTAATTAGATGGAACTTTGATGGCAATGTTATAGGCGGACATGAAAGTTAACATCCATCTGGTACCTTAACATACATTAACATATATAAACATACCTCACAATATTAACATCCTTTGACATGAAAGCCTAGTTGATGAATTAACAGCTTAGGCTTTCAAAGATGTGGAAATCAATAAAAAAATTGGGTTATCGCGAAGAACCGATTCTAGCCTTGGACAAGAAAACGACGATGTTGTGGAACAAGACCATCCCATTGGTCTTGGTTAAGTGGAAATTCCACAAAGGCTCAAAAAGGACGTAGAACCAAAGATTAAGATGAGAGCCAAGTACCCGTAATTGTTCGACGGAGATTGATTTCGTGGACGAAATCCTTTTTTAGTGGGGGAAAGTTGTAACACTCTAAGATTCATGATTTGTAAAATAAATAAATGTTGAGTGTTAAAATTTAAAGAGCAAACGACATATGGGATTAAAGTGTCGATACTCGAAAAAAATGATTTTATTGCAAAAAATAAAATCAATAAAAAAAGAAATGGAACATTTTGTATTTAATTGATTTAGGATGTAAATGCAGAAAGAAAAACTAAAGGGACTAGTATTGCCAAAAATAGAAAACAAATTTGGAAATGATGTAAATTTGGAAATCTTTTGCTATCACATTGTTCATATTCCAGAGCTGATTTGATGCCCTGTAAGTTCGAGTTTTGGGCTGAACTTTTGTGGAATCGTTCCCAAGAGTGTAAGGGAATAAACCTAATTGGAATTTCGGGAATTCATCAAGAAATGAGGAAGATATCGAGTTTGGAGCGGCATAGGATCATTCTACACAAAAACGACGATTGGAGGTAAAATACTCAACCAAAGTTAGTGTATAATATATGGTTGGCTTCGTTTTTCAATTACCTTTCCATTGGTATAACTTTCATGGATTATGGTGGCATATACGTCGAACGGTTTGGACTAGAAGCTGCGGCAGCGGTGGCTCGACGAGATTCAGGTACAAAAACTCAAAATACGAGTTTAATAATAGACCATATGGGTTGTAAATTTGGGTACAAGTTGGGATTGTTATTATTTATAAACTTTTGTAAAAAGTTTGGTGAAAAAACGAATGAGAACTGATCTCAAATGGAGGTCGTTCACGATAGCCGCACCAAAGGTGCGACTTGGTTGGGTCGGGCCTCGAGTTGGGCCGACCGACGCTGGACCAGGTTTTAGGCCAGGGCCTACTTGTCTCAGTTGAGTTCGGTTAGACTCGATATTTATTAAAAAGAGATTTGAGACTTATTTATTTATTTGGATTAATCGAAATAAATCGTGATGTTTCGATTAAATTGGTCAAAATATGGACATTATTAGTTAATTGGGTTTCCACATTTAAATTATAAGAGATAATATAATAACTTATTTTGGGAGTCATGTTTGGATAATTGCGGGATCAAACGTTTTTAAAACGGGAACCGTATATAATTAAAGGTTGGGTGTAATACGTCATAATTTATTTTAGATGTCAAATATTCCATGAGGGAGTACATGGCGACGAGGTATGATTGTGGTTGACCCGTTGACCATGCCAACCCCAAAGTTGATCCATTTGACTTTTGAGTTGACTTTCTGGGAAAAGTCAAGACTCTAATTATGGAAATAAAATTACGTGTTATAGGGTATTACTCAGGGACGAGGTTTAGCTAAGCGGAGCTGTTCAGGTGAGTTTTCATGAGATTTCAACTGGAATACATGCTTATGTACAAATTATTTGAGCATTATGTTATCTTTATGTACATATTTATAGGCTTAATACATGCATATGAATTACTACTATGGGTTGAATGCTATTTGTTTATGTGTTCTTAAACATTAATTCGCATGTTATAAATGAGTTGTTGTTTTCAACTGGGTATGGGATTGAGTCGATATGTTATAAGGGAAAACACTTCCTAGGGATGGGTGATCAGACAAGAGATAGCCGTATAACCCGAAGAATGCCAGTGATAATAAGACCTTTACCCGATGGATCATAAAATGAGATCTCATAATTATTTAAAGATGTTTTGAAGCAAATGTACATATTATTTCATTTGGAGTATTGTTTGTTTTATGCATGATGAGATATGTATAATTGTGCATGCAAACTATAAACTTACTAAACTTTGTAAAGCTGACTATTAATATACATCTCAGGTACAAAAAGTTCAAATATAATAAAAATGATTAAATTTAGTATCATTTGATGATTTTATATTTATTTAAAAAAATTACGTTTATTGCTAATTTGCTATAACTCTTTCACAAAAATGATAATTTTAATTTAATAAAAAGAATAAAAATCGATTTTTTTAAAAACATTTAATTATTAGAGTTGTAATAATAGCAAGTAATAGGTGTCTGAGATTGTTTATTTGAAACAACTTATGATTTTTTATAAAAACACTTATCAACTTATTATAAGTTAAAAGAGTTTGACTTTTTTAAAACTTCTTGTTACCGATTTGACACCGATATAACTTGTTTATCTAAACGCTAAAAAATACTTATTATCAATGTCACACTGATACAAAATAATAAGTTATTTTTATAAGCAATCTCAAACAAGCCATGTTTCAAAATCTAATTTAGATACGTATTTATATCTATGAACATTTCTTTTCCATCTGTATATTAAATATATAAAGAAAAGGAAAACCCTTGCAATTTAAGCACTACTCTCCCGATTGTATCACAAAAATACCGACCGACCTTCTGTGATTCTCTTATCTTTTTTCTCCTCCACCGTCGTTGGCTACTTCCGGCGACTCCTTACCTGTACCCATCAAAAACTGACACCCACAAGCGTCCATTTTTCTCATTTTTAATCAAATGTTTTAATTGGTCGTTGTCGTTGTCGGTGGCTGTTAAATGTCGTGAAGATTAATATTTCTTTAATGCCGATCGAGGGTGTTTTTGGATTCATGATTTCCCAAATGGGTTATTGAAAATCACAGGGTTTTGTAGGAAGGAAAGAAATCTTGGTCCATATTTCCCTGAGATTTAATTAAGACTTGTAAATGTTGTTTCGATTTTTGGTAGGTAACTCTGCAATTGAATTCTAGTTGGATCGGCCTTGATTTCCCTTCATGTATTTAGAAATTCTTGGATCTTGAAACCCATTATCGGTTATTGGATTCCTTTCTTTATCAATTCAGATCCTTCCTTTTTGCCAAAAGATAAATTTTTAGGGTTTTTGTAGTGGATGAATGGAAGAGATATGTACAGGGTAGAGGATAAAGATAAGAAAAGGAGGTTTGGAATTGGAATTGGATTTGGGATTGGAATTGGAATTGGAATTGGAATCGGAAGGATGGGATGGAAGTCATTAGGAGAAGGTCGAGTAGAAAAGTTTAAGGCTAATGCAAGATCTCCAAAAATGAAGCTATGGATAATTAGGGCTACAACAATGGTGCTATTGTGGACTTGTTTGGTTCAGTTAACAGCATTAGGTGATACATGGGGTCCTAGGGTTTTGAAAGGTTGGCCTTCTTCTTTCACTCAAGATTCCCATTCTGCTACTGCTTTAGATGTCAAGTTTCTACCCACTGCTCCTGCTAGAGTTCTTCCACCCAAGAGTAAGCTCTTTCTGTCTTCTTCATTGTTTTCTTACTGGTTTTTATGTGTTCTATCAATTGTAACATGAAATCTAACATGTTTTACTGATGATTGCAACATGGATTGCAACACTTGTTATGGGTTTTTCTTGGATTTTTCTGAATTGTGATGTTGAAAGAATGCAGGGAGTTTAACAACATGACAAAAGATGATGACCTGCAAAAATACAATTTAACGCGCTTTCGCCAACTTTTGAGATCTTTTGCAATTTCATACCAAGTTTGGAATGATAATTCGTATTAAGAAATCGCGGAACTTTAACCAGGACAAATCAACTCCTAAAATTGCATAGCAGATTGTGTTTTTCTCCATTTTGAACAATAAATTTTCATTTTATGTCGTTAACTATCAGTGGTGGGGATGAAAATGATGGCTTTGGAAGTTTTCGGGCTATACTGGATTTATATTCTTTCGTCAAAAGAGTTTGTAATATCTAAAAGGAAAGAAATTAACATCAACAAGAGATGATTAATGGCTTCCTCTGCTATCTGGTTCTTCCACTATATATTATTAGGGTTCTTGTTTTGTTTTATTTGATGTTTGATCAATCTGTGTATTGAATGTAGGGGTTTATCAAAACAATGGTTACCTAATGGTTTCATGTAACGGAGGACTCAATCAAATGCGCTCTGCAGTGAGTGTTTTCTTTACAAATTGATCAATCTTTTCGATAAGTTTGCAATAGAAACAAATATATCTTGTTTCATTATCATGCAGATTTGTGATATGGTTGCTATCGCAAGATTTTTGAACGTTACTCTTATAGTTCCGGAGCTGGATAAAACTTCTTTCTGGGCTGATCCAAGGTATGGCGAATCATGTCATTCTTCACTGCGTTTTTTTGGTAACCATAGTTGTTCCACGGGCCCTGGAGATAACATTCAGTAAAATCGTCAGTAATCAGTGGCCCTGAGGAGACTCGAACTGGCGACCTATGAGAAGGAACCCCAAGGCCTGGCCTTTATTTGTCAGTTTAGTGGCCCCAAGGCCTAGCCTTTTTTTTCTTCGGTGCATATTGAGACCCACCTCGCCTGATTTGAGTCTGATTGTTTCAAATCTTGAATGACAGTGAGTTTGAGGACATTTTTGACGTGAATCATTTCATTACGTCCTTGAGAGACGAGGTCCGGATACTGAAACAGCTTCCTCCGAGACTTAAAAAGAGAGTGGAATCGGGAATCGTGCATACAATGCCTCCTGTTAGCTGGTCCGATATTTCTTATTATCATAACCAGGTACAATCTTTTTTCTACCCAACTCTATAATTCTTGATTTTGAAGTTTTTGTATGCTATTATTACAGTTTTGTCCTCATGAAATGCAGATTCTTCCTTTGATTAAAAAACACAAAGTTGTGCATTTGAATAGAACCGATGCTCGGCTTGCCAATAACGGTCAGCCTCTAGAACTTCAGAAGCTCAGATGCCGAGTAAATTTCAACGCTTTAAGATTCACTCCTCAGATAGAATACTTGGGTAGACGTGTTGTACAGCTTTTGAGACGAAACGGGCCGTTTTTAGTGCTTCATCTCAGATACGAAATGGATATGTTAGCGTTTTCTGGATGTACTCAAGGATGCAAAACGGATGAGGTGGAAGAGTTGACCAGGATGAGGTTTGGCTTTTTTAGTTTGGTCCGTAAAGTTTAATAAGGGCATTGGATCTGCTTTTCGTAAGTCCATTTTGTTGACAGATATGCATACCCATGGTGGAAAGAAAAGATTATAAACTCCGAGTTGAAAAGGAAAGACGGTTTATGCCCTTTGACTCCCGAGGAAACTGCCCTTACGTTAAGGGCACTGAACATTGATAGCGACATCCAGATTTACGTTGCTGCTGGTGAAATATACGGAGGTCAAAGGAGAATGGCGGGTCTTGCGTCCGCTTTTCCTAAGCTGGTTAGTAAAATTGCTAAATGAAAACGTATTGGATGATTTAGAATTTCTGGCTAGAATCGCTGTGCCAAAATTAGAAATTTGTCCAAAAGTTAAACAGTCAAATGTGCATTTGGTACATGTGATAGGACAGAACAAAAACCTGTTGTTTTCTATGTTTGGCGTGATATTAGACTAGGACATGACAGGATTGAACGGGACAAAAAATGCATCAAATCAGGGAGATGTGACAAAATAGGTAAATTGCTAAATTACCCATATCAAATTAAGACCATGTAACCATCTACACATCTTTCACCCGGTCCAGTCATGTCTTGTCCAGTCTTACACGCGATTTAGATGAATGAACAATCTTACATTTAAAGTTATGTGTATGTATGTGTTGTAACAGGTAAGAAAAGAGACTCTATTAGGAGCAGATGACCTTCAATTTTTCCAGAACCATTCGTCACAAATGGCGGCATTGGACTATTTGGTATCGTTAGAAAGCGACATATTTATCCCTACCTATGACGGGAACATGGCCAAAGTGGTAGAAGGCCATCGAAGGTACCATTCTTTTGCCATTCTTGGTTACATAACTGACAGAATCAGACCCATAAAGAATCTCGAATCTTTTTCAGATATTTGGGGTTCAAGAAGACGATATTATTGGATAGAAAGCTTGTTGTTGAGTTAATAGATCGATATACGAGTGGATCATTGAGTTGGGACGAGTTCTCAGGAGCCGTTAAGGCTGCACATACAGCAGCACGAATGGGGAGCCCGAAGAAAAGAGTGGTTCTTCCAGAGAGACCAAAAGAAGAAGATTACTTCTATGCCAATCCAGAAGAATGCCTGCAGCCATTAGAGAGTGAACCTTTGAGCATCCTAAGATGAGGGCCTTTGAGGGTTGGGATCTTTATCTATAAAAAGCGGGTGAAGCTGGTGCAGCGGCCACGGCTCAATGGTGCACGATACGGGTCTATTTGGATATCGAGGGTGGTGGGAGACATCGATGTCGAAAGGGTTATGATCTTGGTAGGGGTTGAGGTGAGATTGGGGGGTTATTATGAGTATGTTTCTTTATTTTGACATATTATTGGTAATAATGGTAATTGATGTATAGGAAGGTGCCCTGGCATTGCAGGGTTATATAAACCACTCATATGTACACGTCTATTCCAAATGTCATAGATTCGTTTCTAAATACATAAATTGAAGTCGATGTATGTAAATGCATGATTCTTAATATTCATTAAATTAAATTGTGAAACAAATATATGTTCATCAATACACTAAATTCTAGTCTTAGATGAGAAAAATCATTTGAAACAATATCTTAAAATAAAAGTTTTCATGCGACAGACCTAGGTCGTAGGCTAAGTTGCTCCCACACAACCATGTCCCTTCATGTATATTATCACATGTGATAAGAATGTTCTTGAGTTATTATAAAATGAATGCGTTCTCGTTTGAATAAATTTCAATTTACATGAGAAAAGTGTGAAAATGTCGTCACATAAGATAACTTAATCTTCACATGATACAAGTAAAGGTAACCTTATATTATGTGAAGGCATATGAAGGTGGCTGCCTTCACATATCTGGTGAAGGTAAGGGTGTTCACGGTGCGATTAACCCCCTGAACCACAAATCAAACCATAAGGGTGGTGTCTGATTGGTTTGAGCTTGACTCCAAAGGTCAAAAGTCCCAGGTTCAAATTCAAGGAGGAATAAAAATCCCCTTGTGGCCACGGAGGTTCAAATGCGGTGACTCTGGGCTATCTGCAAAGCAGGTGGTCTCCCTGGGATTAGTCGGCTCGCATAGCGGGTTGGATATCCAGGTTAACCGGGAAGAAAAAAAAACCGCAATGGCGGTTTATGAAATTTTCCAAACGGAGCGTTTTGGTAGTAAGCGACCAAATCAATCAAATCGGACCACAAAAAAGACGGTTCGGTCTGACAAGTTTAGATGGTTTGGGTCTTCTGGGCATTAAACTCAAAAAGACATAACATATATATTCAAAATGAAATTTCTATCAATATAACATTCTTAAAGAATAAAATATTGAATTATAAAAGTTATATCTATCTCCGTAACTTAAAAAGACATTAAGTAAGTTGAAAAAGAGGTTACATAAATTTACTAATAATAGTTGGAATTTTGGACTAAAATTGAGCAAGTCACATGACGATTTGAAATTTTGAAATAGATTTTTGACGGAGTTCAAAATTTTGCCAATTTAGATGATGCGGTCAATTGAGAATATAAAGTCTTGGATAGACTTATTTAATTGTGCCATAAAGTTGAGCATATAACATGAAAACTAATTATAATTAATATATGTGTATTTATGGCAGTCGGTTAAGTCCAAACCGCTCAAAAAAACGTTCAAACCGTAGACTAGACTGGAACGACCGGTTTGACTATTTTTCAGACCGGGGTGGACCGCCAGACCGCCCAAACCCCCAAAAATGGTTTGGTTTGACTTGGTTCAAACAGTTTGAGTGGTCCAACGTTTTTTTTGAATACCCTTGGGTGAAGGTACACATTCAGATCATTTACTTTCATCACCTACAAAAAATATAAAGAAAGTTTCATAGAATATAAGAGTATCTTCACCACTTCTCACCAGAATATTGTGATCCCAAATATCTCTCTGTCTCTTCTATATATATGTATGTATGTATGTATATTTCTATTAAACAATTACTTTTTAAAATATCATGATTAATCAAGTGTATGTTTGATTCAAAATTTCAGGATTCCAAGAACCAGTATTTGAAAAGTCATTCGTTACCAACTCATTCCAATAATCCTAGTAAATAAATGACATACTCCTTCATGCATGCTTCATTTGGCTCACAGAGCTCTACGCATGCAATATATGGCCTCCCTCCATATATACTGATTTTATCGTTACTTTGTTAGAATGTGGATTTCTTTTTCCAAAAGAAAGAATTAATTAGGAAAAGATAATTTGAGATGGGGTTTGGGCATAATGGTGTTGAAAGACAAAAAGATTGTGGAGTTTCACCACAAGTAGAAGAAACAAAATTATTGAAAAAGGCAATTAATGGGATTTGAATCAGAGGCATTAATTTACATTCATTGTGAGACACCACCCCACCAACATTGCTTCATTTCCCTCTTACATAATATTATTCAAAATTACAAGAAATAACCATAATTAATTTTCTTTTCTTTAACGTTTAATATTTGATATTAACAAGACAGTATGATATAATTATTGTTTAATTAACAACCTCAATTGCCTCTAATTGTCTTCATGATATAATAATCAAAACATTAAGAAGAACAACAGCATTAAGCATGTAATACATACTTTAGCAACAAATTTTTTTTTAAATTAAGATATGGTATATATAAATCTGCAGTAACTAATTCTCTCTCTCTCTCTCTCTCTATATATATATATATATATTATATATATATATATTATATATATATATATATATATAATGAGATGACAATCATTAATAATACATTCTTTTTCATTAGTATCCCCCCCAATCTACATACATCGTATTAACTTCCAACACAATTAATATAAATATATAAAAATTAACAAAAAAAAACAAAAAAAAAAAAACACATGAATCGTCCTCCATTTGGAAGCAATAAATGATTAATCTTTTAGTTTCTGCTCGACTTAAACCTCTTCAAGCCTTTATCACTCTTTTCCTCCCGGCTGCTTGCAACTCTTGAACGTCTCACCGTTTCATCATTCCCTACTTCATTTTTCTGTTTGCAAAGTCCACTACATTAAAACACTTCACCAAGATGCGTATTGTGCTTTTTAGGTAACAATGGGTTTTCACAACTAATATTCCACTCCACTTCATTTCTTAACCTTACCGTTACCCGTGTCTCACATGAGATTGTGGAAAAGCTTATTGTGAAAACCCAATGACAATGACAATGACAAAGATATAATAAAGTGTAATTTTTCATGTGGGTCCCATCTTTTCTGAAAAATCTCCCCGTTGTGGATGTTATAAAACTAAAAAAGGAGGCAAGTACCTTAAGGATGGGTTTCTTTCCTAGGTCAATTTGTACTGAGATGTTGGCCTGAGATAGGTCGACACCGGAGCTCTGTAGCGCTTGTGTTAGACTAGTCAATAACCTGTTTTCAACACTAAAATGTTGTCACTCAAATCAAAAAGAAAAAACCCAAGTGATTGATATTAAATTCATCGTTACCCTTGAGAGTAGATGGTTGAGATGCTTATTGTGCCACTTTCAATTGTTAGTTCCTTTTCTTTCAACTTATCACCAGCAATGCAATCAGTTGTGCATGATCTGCTCTGCCATAATTGGGATGCTGTATCAGATGCCAGCTGTGTTGAAGGACAACCGGCAGGAGAATATATGTTTGAACCCAAAGGAGATGCCTTATTTGTCAACCCACCAATTTCCTTCACTTCACTATCTAATAGGTTTTTCCCTTTTTTGGCCCCAAAACTTCCCTTGTTCTCATTCAGTTTTGGAGCAAATACTAATGCGTTTTGGACACGTGGTTGTTCAACAAATCCTTCGCTTGGTCTTTGATTATTGTTCTGTTTGAATTCAAGGCAGCCAGTCATCAAGTTAGAAGAAGAAATTGCATTCCTTTAGGATCAGGGTGGGTTTTGAAGCATTTAAGTGTTGATAGAATTATTACCCATGGGATGATGGCATTGGCAGGTGGTTCGTTGTTCCATCCACGGAGGCATGAATCCTCATACTTGTTAACCTTCTCTTGTAGAAAATGAATGTAATCAATCACCTACAAAATTCAAAACTCCAATGCATGTGTGAGTTTGGGTGAATGATAAAAAGGAATAAATCAGACATCATGGGTGTACCTCTAACAAAAATGATGCTTTATCTCTCTTTTGATCACCATGAGGGATGAGTTCTCTCAACATCGAAAATCTGCACTAGTATTAAAATACCATATTATATATCAATCTTGGCATTTGTTGATTCAAATAATTAAGACCAATAAGTTTTCTTCAACATGGATCAAAGAAGAAGAATTGCAAGGAACATTCCCAACAGCTAGAGTTTATCTTCATCCCCATACAAAGGAAAATTCCAACAAGTTTACTCGACCCAACTGATTCAAGTTGGACATCAGTAACTAATCCCTTCACAGCTGACTCCTTTGCTATTGGGCATTTGAAGGGATTAGCTATGTGTATATAATTTATTAGGTTCATTCTATACAATAGTAGAAAAGTCACATTGTATCTGATCCACATGATATGGATGGATGTTCATATGTTCGGTTTATGTGTCATGATTTGTAAATAGCATAGGATCTAGCTGGATGAATCCGCAATAAACTGCACTTGCTTTTGCAGATCATTTTAAGAAAGTGCCCCGTAAGTCAGAGACGGCCTATACTTTGGTGGTATAGGTGGCACATGTCACCGTATTATTCCTCCATCGAAGGGTAAAAAAATTTAGGTTCGTGAAATGTGCAATTGTATTAGTTTGTTGTGTGCAACCGTATGTATTTTGAAACTACAATGAGAACAAGTTTTATTTGGTAGAGTTGGTTTGCAAAACTTTCATTCCACCCCAGACCCAAGTTCGAATTGTGTTAGTGTCATTTTCTTAGTGAAATGGTGCCACCGATTGAAAAACATTCTGTATATTTGTTTCTTATAGTGAAACGGTGCCACCTTTGAAATTTTTTCTCTATAGTTTTTTCTTATAGTCAAATGGTGCCACAATTTGAAAAAAAATCTGGATCCGTCCCTACCGTAAGTATTTCTGTAAGTGATAGCTACAAAATTTACCCGTGTTTAAGATACCACAGGGTGATGTATTTAAGGAGCCACAAATAGCTGGTTTTTAATATATATATATATTATATAGACTTGGGATCATGTGAGACCAGCTTGTTTTCGTGAGACCCGTGAGACCAACATTTTACACTTGAAACTTCACAGTAAAATGCTGTGAAGGTGACTTTTTAAAACCTTCACA